CTTTCAGTGGTGGGATTTCATTAATTTTTACTTTCTCAGTTTTCTGGAAATTTGGAAAATTATAAAAAATAAGCATGTGTTGTTTTCATAATTACAAAATTTTTAAAGATGGATTCTTGAACTTGAGACAACAGTAGTTTTCATTGAGAATAATTTAACCCATGAAATATCAAAAATTCCTGGGTAAGCTTTCTAATTGACCCACCTTTCAGTATTTCCCCCGCTTGGGGCAGTTATCTGGAACCAGAGGTGCAGTGACATTGCATTAACAAGACAGCTTCCACTGGATGCATAGGGGAATAAGGATAACTCCTGGAGCGAGTATGCAGGCCAACAGCTCCTTGAGCACGCACTCCAGATACTCTGCCATCCCTGGCGGGCACTAAATTTGGAAATTGTTCCTGTTGACCTTGGAACCCCCAACACCCATGGTCTTTATCCAGTCATGACTCAGCATTTACACATGGTGGTTAAGCACAGAAATGGGTTTCTTCTGAATGTCCGTAAGGAAACACTTTTACCAAGGAAAGCTGAATTTGGGGCTCATACACAGCTGAGAATCTATAGATCAACTCCTAAGAGACCTGGGTCTGGCTTAGTCACACTCCTCCAGGAGTCTCTAGAATACCATACAGGCACAATAGGACACATTTCTGTCTGTGGAGGCCTGGAATTTCTTCACCTGAGAAGGAACATTCTCCCCTCACACCCCTCAAATCATACACACACACGCGCGCGCACACACACACACACACACACACACACAGGCACACACTACTGCTACCACACATGTGAAAGCCTTGCCTTCCTGAGACAGTAGCTTATGGTCAACTAGAGGTTCAGCTGGTCAGCTCTTAACCAGCAGGCCCTGTCAACCTACCAAAACTGCTGCTCAGTTAGCCAACCTCATCTCCTCCAGCTAACATTGCATGTTCTACCATCCAAGTGGTTAGATCCTATTTCTTCTCCAGATGAAAGACCCTTATAGCTCTCAGTTGGTAACCAATTATAATTTGGTAATTCTTTATGTCCAGCATGGCCCCCTCCATGTATAACAGATTATACATTACATACACACATCATGCACCTTAATTTTAAAAATGCCATACAGTTTTCATTGACAATCCCAAGTGATGATACTAGGCAGACTATTTCATAATGAAAAATTTATCTTTCATTCTATTTCTTTTATTTTTGAAGAACTTTGAGAGAATTATTTGGACATTCCAGTTTCTTAGGTAAAACTCGTTGCATGGTGATTCTTGAAGGTACCCTGCAAGAATTTTTCTTTTTCTTTTTTCATTCTTATTTACACATACAACAGGCAGATTTTGCAGTCCTATCTTTAGAGCCACAGGTTAAACAACAGCCTACACTTATCTGCTGAGACCACTAGGTGGTGCACACATATGTCTGTGAACCATAGGTTAAATGGACTTGTCACTAGGTTAGATTTAATTCATCACCACAGGAGCGGTACAAACAGTAGGAGCTGCTGGAGTCCAGTAGAGACAGTGATCCTATGTGTGGGCTAAGAGAAGGAAGGGCTCCCACAGGAGGTGGATAGCCAGTGCTGGCTGTAGAGATGATAGGAACAAAATCGTAAAGGTGAGAAAGCCTAAAGACGTGGCAGAGGGAAAGTCCTATAGAGGAAGTGGCATGGTTGCTTTCAATGCTGATGAATTCCTATCTAAGAGTAGCAGAGGGAGTGACAGAATAGTTGAATCATTTGAACCAGATGACATCAAACATTCTTTCCAGACCTTTGTGCTGGAACTGGAGATAGAGGGATGAAATGACAGCCTTATCCTCAAGTAAGGACCTCTTGAGGGAAACAGAAGAAACAGACAGTTGAAACAACGTGATACAAAAGGTTGGCTTTACAAGATGCATTAGAAGAACAAAGTGTGGACTGTTCTGTTCAAAGGACAGATGGAGGTTAGGTTTGGAAGTTGACATGCAGAGAAAATGTCATGGATGTCTGGAGCAGTGAGGGGAGACCTCCAAGAAGACAGAAGGTCATGAAAAATTAGGCAGAATAGCATGAGCAAAGGCATTGAGGGCTGGTAAAAGGATAATGTGGATTCCAGGAATGCTTCACTGAATTTAACAAATGCTTACAGAGGGCTACTATATGCCATGGACTGAATAATACATCTTCTAGGCCCTTATGATACTCTCCAACTAGTGAGGAAGACACACGTCCACTGAAAATTGCGATGTCAAAGGAGAGCTGAAAATTTGGCCCCTTCTACATTCTGACTGTCCTTTGAGCCCCCAGTGTTCTGTCTACAGGGATTCACAGGAACACTTCACACCAGAAGAGGGAGCCCGTAAGCACAGTACCTGGTTGTGTTTGACTCCCTTTCTCTGAAGGTATTTCTCTCGCCAGCGCTTTACAGGTGCGAAGGAAGTTTGAGGCCGGAGATATGCAGTAAGTTATCCAAACTCCACAGAGAAGCCAAGAAAAAAGCCCATGTCTGTCTGCCTCCTGTCAGGTTTTCTTCTCTTTTTTCTCTACTGGAGCCTGGACACAGAGTCACCATTTAGAGATAGCTCTTAATTAGGAAATAGACTCTTCTCAGATAAATAAACTTCTTTCACCAGCCACAGTCATCACAAAGTCAAGCTTACGGGAAAACAGAGGGACACATTGTATTCTTTCCTCATGCATGAGAGAAGTGCTGAGCCACACAGGTTGGCCTTGGCAAAGGCAGCTTGAGCCAATTGTGCTACTGGCCTGGTTCTGTGTTTGGGAGGGAAGACGGTCTGGCTCCAGCAGTCCTTCTAGCCTATGTGTGTGGGTGTGTGTTTCTTTTCAGAGTGAGGATGTGTGTTTACAGTGTAGGTCAGTGACATCTTGGAGTTGCATTGTTTGCTTGAAAATGTCAACTGGAATGAGTTAGAAGCTGGCAGGAAAACAGTGATGTTGATTGAGAAGTCCATGAGGTAATACAGATCTGCTTTTAGGTTCATGAGAAGTCAGTGAAGTAAGTGGTAGAGATATCTTAAAGAGTTTTTGATAGGGACAGATCAAAGTTAAATAGAGGAGGAAGGAGACAATGAGGGCAAGAAGATTTGAGACCAGGTCTTCTGAAGAAAGGATATAGGAACTAGGCATCTTTAGCCTGGAGAGAAGACACAGATCTGCAGATGTCCCAACCCTTGTGATGGGCTGAGGCAGCTAGAAACAGTGACAATGTCATAAGGAGGCCACCTTTAATCCTGCATAAAGGACAGCTAACAAACTATCAAGAAGTAGTGAGTTCCCCATCAAGAAAAGGGGTGAAACAAGCAGTTCATACAACTGGTGGGGCCATTGTAGAGGGGATCCTGTTCTCATAGCAGATCAAACTAAATGACTTTTGAGCTCCAAGTATTCACGATTCTTTTTTTAAGATTTATTTATTCCAAAGAGAGGAAGAGTGTGCACAAGTGCAGGGAGGGGCAGAGGGAGAGAGAGAATCTTAAGCAGACTCCCGCTGAGCATGAAGCCCAACGAGTGGCTCCATCCCAGGACCCTGAGATCAGGACCTGAGCTGAAATCAAGAGTCAGCCCCTTAACTGACTGAGCCACCAAGGCACCCCCAAGTATCCACTATTTTATGGAAAAGGAAAAAATAGCTCATATAAACCAAAGGCCACATGGACTATAGTAATAACAACAGCATCAATACTGTATCTTTTTATTGAGCACCTATTAAGCTTCAGGCATCATCATAATTATTTAGGTGTATTGTATTTTGGGCTTTTAAGCCAGCATCAGAGCTGACTGGATTCTAATCCTGGCCCTGCCATTTAATGAAGATGTTGTCTTGAGCAGATAATTTTCCTCTCTGAACCTCATGTAATACCGACCCTGCAGGACTGCCAAAAGTATGAAAAGAAATAACACATCAAAGCACCTGGTACTGTGCCTGGTCTATATTTGTTGCTCAAAAAATGTTACTGCCTTCCCATTTCTGCTTAAGCAAAATTTCAGGAAGCTGTTCTCCATTCTTAGAGAGAGGCAAGATAGTGCAAGAAATACAGATAAGGTGAAATTTGGCAAAGGATCCATTAGAAGAAATATCAGATAATCAGAAGCTCCTACAATATGTAGCCTAGAGCAGTGGTTCTCAAAGTGGAGTTTGTTGAACGTCTTTTGAGAAAAAAAAAAATACAGATTTCCAGAGCCATTTATAGAAATTCAAGTGTAGAAAAGAGAGAGAACTCATCTGGGGCTTAAGAAATCCTAACTTAAGTCTGTAGGAGAGTTGCTCACTGCCCCACCCCCAGCCTCTATATACACTTCTCCATCCTCAGGTTCCCATGACATCCAAGTCAGGACAGAGGCTCCCTGTAGGTATGCTCTGATGCGGGGCAAGCCTACTGAGATACTGATCTCCTCAGCCCTTGGGTTAGCCAAGGGCAGTTGCCTCCAAATCCGAGAAGCCTAATCCATATGGCCCAATGTACCAGACAGATATTTGCTATGATTGTTATATGGTACAAAGAGATGAGGATTCAATTAGACAAAAAAATGGTTTGATCATCAGTAATTAAAATTGTCATAGTGTTGCTGAGCAAATTAAAAAAATAAACCAGCCCAGGAATATCTTGATTGGAAGGGAATATATGGAGAGTGACGGTGACATAAGGACCCAAAGCAGAAGATTGCCAGGATACAAGACACTGAACCAGTATGGCCAGTGTGAACGAAGATTATCTGGTACAGAAGAATGAACCAATGGCCTTTCCCTAAGTATAATATAGGTTTGCCTGGAAGACCTCTAAGGCCTCTCTCTTCTGACCATCCAAGGATAAACAGAAAGGCCATCCATTCCCTTTGTCTCTAGGGTTCAATGCCTCTGTGCAGAGTTGTGAGTGAGCACCACATTCTCCACCTTATACCCCGCTCTGTGTGTCTGAGCATCCCTTTTGCATGTCCGCCCTGAGCTGCTAAGCACAGTTTGGCTCTGGCTCAATTCCGTGATCTCACAGTATGTTTTCTTTTGCAGCAACAGCGGCAGCTTGACCTCCTGACGATAACCAACCCCGGTGAGTAGGTGCAGTCATTCTGCTTTGGCTTTTCCCTTATTTCCCAGAGTGATGCCTGGTGGCCTAACCAAACGCAATTCCTCCTCCTTTGACTCCCTGGATCAACAGCAGAATTCTCGGTGCCATGAGCACTGCTTCTCCCTCCAGCCTCTGCCCCTTGGGCAGTTTTGTTTTGTTTTGTTTTTTCCCTCCTCCCTCCTCCCAGCTTTGTGCTGCCTCCGCTTGACTCTGCAGATGGCAGAGTCTCTGATGTTGCTGCATATTCCAGGGCCAAGCTCTCACCAGATCAGTCGACAGACTCGAGTGTCAAGGAATTGTCCTGGTCTTATGAGAAATAAGTTTTGAAATCATGGGAACAGGGAAACTGCCTGGCAGGGGGCATGGAATGGAAGAAGGATGGCTCATAAGGAGGGACTTGTTTGAGAAAGTGACCACATTTGGTCTTCCGTGCTCAGGATTTTTTTTTTTAAACATTTTATTTATTTATTTGACAGAGAGAGATCACAAGTAGGCAGAGAGGCAGGCAGAGAGAGAGGAGGAAGCAGGCTCTCCATGGAGCAGAGAGCCCGATGAGGGGCTCAATCCCAGGACCCTGGGATCATGACCAGAGCCGAAGGCAGAGACTTTAACCCACTGAGCCACCCAGGCGCCCCTTCCGTGCTCAGGATTAGAATAACTCTTGTCTCTCCCTTTAGGGGAAAGTCAAGTTCCCCAACAAAGCTGTGGCCATGAGATTAAAAGGTCCTTTCTTCCCCCTAAGCAGGGCATCTGCCTAAAGAGTGGTTGAGTAGTTTAATCCTGCCTAAGAGGTATTTTATTTTGGTTTGGGAACTTGAGGCAAAACTGACAAACAAGAGGTTGTTCTCTTTTGGGATCCAAGAGGATGATGATGCCAGCAGGGTTAGTGAGCATTCAAGAATGGGTGTGGTGGGTTATCTTCATCTGTTCAAAATATTTAACAGCCCTGGTGACCCGCTGCTGAGCGAAGCATTAACACTTTGGCTACTGGACTGTGGGGAGATGGGATCCTGGGGGAGGGGGAAGTGTGGCAGAGTGGTCGCATGGCAGGGGTGGGGGCTCTAGGAGTGGCTAATTACTGATAAATATGGAGGCCATTTCGATATGCTGGCAACCAGTATGGCTGTACCCTGTTATCTCTGTCTTTTACCAAGCTCGCCATGCTGTATCTGGGTGCCAGGTGGCTCACTTACAAAGAGATTGAAGAATTGCCCTGTGCAGGCACTATGTTAGCACAAACACTAGTTTATCTGGTCTCAGTCACTGAGGTGTAAGATAGTGACTACAAATGTGATTTGGATCTACCCAGTTCAGGTGACCCTACTATACTTCTACCTGTGGAGCTTTTTGAACTTGGGACTTTAGAAGAACAGAGATGAAGTAGTTTGAAAAATGTTTCATCTGTTCTATAGATGAGCTATGTTTAATATATATATATGATAAACATATGTAGAAATTCCAAATCATGAGCTAACATAACTAGTGTTCCACTCCTGTGACCTACCAATCCCTCCCCACTAAGGTGTTGGTGAAGGATTATCTTTGTCCCGTCTCATTTGATTTCTGTCCTTTGTAATTGTGTACTATTCTACTCCACACATGCTGACCCAAATTGCCCGCTTCCACATTTCAGTCTAATGGTCACATGGTCATACCCTGGTATGATGCTGACGTATGAATTGGAGGGGGTTTTCGATATGTCTTCAGACCCCGTTTACTGCAGTTCTTTTGTACTAGCTCTTTCTGTTCCTAATTGCTGCTGCATAAATTCAAGCAGAGTAATTGTGATTCTAAGTGTACTCCTTTTGAAGAGCTGTGGAACTGCAAAATGCTAAGCGCTGCCAGAGTTTGGAATGGTTTATAATTTTGCCTACTTTTAGACGGGAAAAAAATACCTCCTCGGTCAAAGCTTCCCAAAAGGTGTGTTGTGAGTGGTGCACTGTTGTACTGCAAGTAGGCTACCTTTGTGTGATATCATGAGATACGCACTTGTGAGATATTAATCCATTTACCTCTCAGGGATACAGGTAGGACCTGGACAGCTGGAGCTCCCAGAGTGGTAGCCTCACTCCAGTTTCCAGACAGATATCCACTTGTGCCATATATTACCGTGGGCCGTGTATTACCATTTGTACCATCTATGCTGGAGAGTCTTCTATTTAAAAAATTTGTAAATCTAATTGAGACTTTTCTACACTCCTACCTGATTGCAACTTTCTCCCTTCACCCTATAAGTAACCACTATAATAAATTCAATGTTTTTTCCATATCTGTATGTACCAAAAAAAAAAAAAAGGTGTAACTGGTATTCTTTTACAAATTCCTTTAAATAATGTCACACTGTAAATGACATTCCATGACTTTCCCCCTAGTCATTATTATATTGTAGAGATTAATTCAGGTAGATTCATGTACCTCTGGTTTATTCATTTTAACTGCTATATAGTATTTCACATATGATTATATCACTATTTCTCCACCTTATTCATCATAATTTAGGCTACTTCCAGTTTTTTTTACAGATTTTATAATTGCAAACGATGCTACTAGGAGGATTTTGTGCCTGTCTGCTTGTGTATAAGTGCATATAGTTAGGGGAATTATTGATTATGTGCATCTTCAAATTTACTATGTAATGCCAATTATTTTCTTTTTTTTTTCCTTTTAAATATTTTATTTATTTATTTGACAGAGAGAGAGAGAGATCACAAGTAGGCAGAGAGGCAGGCAGAGAGAGAGGAGGAAGCAGACTCCCCACTGAGCAGAAAGCCTGATGTGGGGCTCGATCCCAGGACCCTGGGATCATGACCTGAGCCAAAGGCAGAGGCTTAACCCACTGAGCCACCCAGGTGCCCCTGCCAATTGTTTTCTAAGGTAGTTGAATAAATATATATTTCCAGCAGCAAAGTATAAGGGTTTCCACTGCCTTGAATCCTCAATACTTGGAATTGTCAGACTTACAAAGTTTTACCTGTCATCATGATAAATGTGAAATGATATCCCATTGTTTTTATAATAATTTCCCTGATTGCTGATGGGGTTGAGTATCTTTTCATATGTTTATTGACCACTTTGGTTTCTTCTTTGGTGAGTTGACTTTTCATATCCTTTTTCCATTTTCAATGGGGTTATCATTTCTTTTTATGGACTTACAGTTCTTTATTATTCTGAATATCAATACTTTGTCACTTATATGCATTGCAACTATCTTCTTCCAGACTGCGGCTTGTGTGGGTAGTTTTTTTTTTTTTTTTTAGTTAATAAGGTACTTCTACATGGAAGATTTTTAAAACTTTAATGGGGTTAAATTAATCAATCTCTTGCTTTATGAGCTTTGCTTTTGTGACTTTTTAAAGAAATCTTTCCCTACCTGGATATCATATTCTTCTGTACTTATTTATAAGAATTGTCAAATTATGTGTCATATTTGGGTCTTTATCTCATTTAGTACTGATCTTTGTGTATAAAATGACTTAGGGATTTAATTTTTTTATTTACATATGGATAACCCCTTGTCTCAGCACACTACAACAACTAGTACCTCCTTTCTCCCACTTATCGGCAATTACGTGTCTGTTGTATAACAATTTTTCTATACACAGAATCTGTTTCTGAACTTTCTGTATTATTCCATTGGTCTACCACACTTATTCTGCATGAACTCCATACTGTCTTATTTATAATAAATCTTAATTTTTTAAAAAGATTTTATTTTTTTATTTGACAGAAAGAGACATAGAAAGAGAGGGAACACATGCAGGGGGAGTGGGAGAGGGAGAATCTGTCTTCCCTCCAAGAAGGGAACCCCATGTGGAGCTGGATCCCAGGACCCTGGGATCATGACCTGAGCCAAAGGCAGACACTTAATGACTGAGCCACAGAGACAACCAATAAATCTTAATTTTAATATTATCTTTATAATTATAGGGAGATATCCTTCTACATTTCCCTTTTGTGGTAATCTTTTGGAAACAGTATCACCTGTTAATTTTTTTAAATAAAATCTAAAAATCCATGTATTGTAACAGGTGAATTTATTCTATATATATTTATTATAATTACTGGTATACTTGAATAAACACCTACCACCGTATTTGTGCTTTCTATCATTCACTTTCTTTTTTTTTTTCTCTTGTCCTGCCTCTTTTTAGTATTAAGTTTTATATATTACCTGCCTTCCCCCCACTCATCCACAGATTTGGATGCTTTTGTTTTTATTTCTAACCTAAATGGATTACCTTTTGGATATACATTTCATGATGTATTTTCTTACAATATCTACAGCCTTTGACACAATTAGCCTTCATACAAAGTAGAGTAAAAGATGGACTAGTTGAGGCACCTGACTGGTTCAGTGAGTAGAGCATGTGACTCTTGATGTTGGGGTCATGAGTTCAAGCCCCACGGTGTGGGTAGAGATTACTCAAATAAATAAATAAACTCTTAAAAAAAAGAGAGAGAGAGATAGACTAGTTGTTGTATGGTGCTGAGAAAATGGGTTATCTATATGTAAACATGTTTTAACCACCTATTGAACACTGCCCTGTCACCACCTAGTTATTATTACTTAGACTTATAAGTTAAACTTAAAAGTGAGAAACAATGAATTAGTAGTAGCACTGAGCTAATTACTTTTCCTACACAGCTTATGATGTTTTGTGTTCTCCTGCTTATTATATCCCAAGATTTCCTGTGTTACTTTAAAGTGAATCCTTTAATAACTATTTTAGTGAGAGTCCATGGCAATCCTCTTAATCTATGTATGTCCTTATTCCGACTTTCTCTGGATTAATAGTTTGGCTAGGTATAAATTTTAGTTTAAGGAAGACTTTCCTTTGTACTTCAAAGATTTTTAAAAATTGTTTTCTGACATACATAGTTGCTGATGAGAAGTCTTCCATTATTTGTTTTTTAAAGATTGATTGATTTATTTATTTGACAGACAGAGATCACAAGTAGGCAGAGAGGCAGGCAGAGAGAGA